ATGTAAAAAAAGCTGGATATTCAGACACGAGGTCTGGTGTACACGAGAAACTGAAACGTTGACTTTAAATGTATAATATCAACACATATCACATATTAGGTTAGATGAAAGCAATAATATTAAGTGGAACCTAATGTTTTTTTATACAAACTTAATAGTATTGCTTTCAACTAACCTAATACAGTTATTTGAAATCTGTTGACATGATACATGATAAATTCAAGTCAACGTTTCAATTTTTTCAGTGCCTCTAACATATTACTAATTCAGAGAATTTATTTTCACTTTCTTTATGTATGCCTGCTTTTGCATGAATATATTCACAGGTCATGTGAATACATAATACATATTGTAAAGATTAGAATGTGTAAACAAGTATTTTCTAACCAATCTCCAAACATCCCCCTACCCGAACACCCACTCTGAGGGGAACAGGAACACAAAGCAGCCCACACACTCAGACCTGTTTCACTGCAGAGACATGCAGCAGAACTCCCACAATGCCTCCAAAATGTACTCAAGTAACTCAAAATTGTTCTTGAGTACAGTACTATAGTATATGTAGTAAGTAACATTCCACCAATGATATTAATTATTAACATTTCATTTCACAGTGAATGTGCACTGGTTAATGTTATACAGTAGTAAAACCTTTTAGTTGACCAATTGAAGGAAACATTTTGATATGAAGCTTTGCAAAATCATCCCCATCCACACGTGCCAGAACAAGTTGTTTTCAGCCCCTGCAAAATGGACATGTTTTTTTTCCTCTGGGTTATATCTTAATAAACGACATCTCTGGGCTTTGGATGACCAAATATTATATAGTATATAAAACAATTAATTTAGTAATCAAGAAAATAAATAAACTGATGAAAATTCAATTAATGCAGGTCAAATAGGTATTTTATATTTATCTATATAACTGTCAAATACTAAGCCATAATGGTGTAATAGCCCCCCCCACACACACACAACACACACACACACTCCCCCCCCCTTCCTGCTGCAGAAACTCATTCATGCCTTCATGTTTTGCTGAAGCAGCATATTCCATTATGAACTATGGGAGGCCTTCAATAATTCAGCACAGACCGGGGGCCGGGGCCCTCACAGACCCCTGGCCGGGGGGACTCTGGACCTCTCTCCATCCCACGCTCCATATCTCATTCTCCCAGTAAACTAAAAATATATTTCTGTCCGGCTCTCTATTCATTTTATAAAGCATTTTCGGCTGCATTTGAAATACATCATTATTCTTGCATTTTAAAATATATTTCCCACCATCAGCCAGACAAAATCTCTCTCAGCTAAATCTGTGAGAGCGAGGTCTATGTATAAAATATGACTATAGGTTTCCTCAGAATAAGAATTGTATTTGACTTTAGTTTTTCATAATTACACTCGGGCTGAACATTCAATCAACATTTTATCCAAATCACCATATGAACCAGTGCAGTATCCAAATCACCATATGAACCAGTGCAGTATCCAAATCACCATATGAACCAGTGCAGTATCCAAATCACCATATGAACCAGGGCAGTATCCAAATCACCATATGAACCAGTGCAGTATCCAAATCACCATATGAACCAGGGCAGTATCCAAATCACCATATGAACCAGGGCAGTATCCAAATCACCATATGAACCAGGGCAGTATCCAAATCACCATATGAACCAGGGCAGTATCCAAATCACCATATGAACCAGTGCAGTATCCAAATCACAGTAGGCGCAAAATGTGGTAAAATATGTACAAATATCTGAATGCAGTGTTGTGGAGCTGCAGAGAAGTCCCGGCCTAAAACAATTCTCCAGAATCAATAAAACATGCTTGTTTGGTACAGATCCTCCTTATCACAACATTATCATTTACAAAATATATTTCAATGATAATTTGAATAATAATTCAAAAATGATTGTTCCTTGTAATGTCGCAAATCATATTGCACTTGCAAGACTTAAAATGATCTCAATGACTTCATTTTTCCAAATCATGCAGGAGTATTTTATAAAAGGACCTCTGCAGGACATCCAACTACTCTTTCAGGATGAATAAAGTGATCAATATATGTAATGTTACATTTCCTTTTTGAACACATCGTGTCCTCTCTCCTGGTGACTGTGGTCAGAGGACCGTGTGTGTGGATCTCTCAGTGATGGATGTGTGACGGTGCAGCGCCCTCTACTGGGATCTGATCTGAGGCTGGAGCATGGAGGAACATCAGGACGGGTTCACAGGATCCTGGTCCCTACAGCTGCTCCTCCACTCACAGGTACTGCTTTTATATTCAATATTTCACACATACTGTACAAAAAACGCTTAAACATTGACCTTATACACTTTATTAAACTGAACACTGTCTCTTCTCTGACAGTGTTATTAAAAATGCCCTCGATACATATCAAGTTAAATGTGTATTGTTATATCCAAGCGTTATTACCCATAACTCCTGTGCTCTGAGCAGCAGCAGAGTGACCCCTGACCATAGGCG